TTTTAAATCAGGCATACGTTTATGTGAGGAACGGCATATATTCTGTGGATGCCACCCTGACCTTCATGCACAAGGCAGTATGTTATATTACGAAAAATATTTTCTTCAGTGAATAACTGGTATGAAACTAGTGCAAATCACATGTAACACGATAACCCACTGATTGCCATTTTCATGCAAATTTTCCCGATTAACTTCTTTCAGAATATTTACATACCTCTTGTCAATAATTATTCATGCAGTCATTAGACAGACAGCAGAATAAAGTGAGATTACAAAGGCGAACACTTGCGAAAATCTAATCCTCAATAAATTATTATATTAATTGATTTATTACGTTTGAAACCTGTGATATAAAGTTAATTGTATGTGCAAAATTACTGGCTGGAAACATCATAAAATCGACTCACATGAGGACAATAGTCAACCAACTGTGTGTTGTTATCCACACACAAAGTGCTTTGCTATAGAAAGGAGGAAATTAATTCACCAAAATGGCAATGATTTTCAGTCTTACATTTTGTTCACCATTACAACCATGGGCAATGTCATCAAGAGCATCAAGAGTGTATCAATTAACATCTATGGTGAGCAGTTTGAGAAGAATGCGTCAATTGCTCACCCAGACGAAGAAGTGTAAGAGACTACCTGGTCTCAGATTCAAACGTGAATTTTTAATCGGTAGAATCTCAGAGATTCTCGCGACATTTTCTGATTTGTATATTGTTTGAAAAAAACACAATATTTCGGAAAATACAAATGCGAAAATACAGTTAGTCTGAAAATGATATTTTGTATGAGGGTGGAAATCTGATCCTGATCGATGCGTCTGTGTTTTCCAATACCCATCACCTTTATTTTTATCAGTGCTACTTGCTGTATTTGTGTGAATACCTATATTATCAACTGGGCATTACACTCCAATCAATCAAACGAAAATCACGAGGAAATATATGGATTGACCATCGTGATGGTACCAACCTCAGCCAAGGCTCTAATGCAGTGGAAGCCGACCTCGTCGAGGATTGTGACAGCAATGAGGAATTCAAAGTGAGGGTGGGTAAGAATCATTCAATGTTTCGCACTTATGAATAATTCGCATTGAGAGAATAAGGATGGCTTTCACAGACAACTCCAAGCAGTGATGGAAAACATCCCAAATAGAAATACTTAATTCCTAAGAAGTGATATGAATGTCATCTGACCTTGCAGCGGATATTGCTTGAATACAACTCGTCGTGTATCAAGAAGCCTTCGAAGAATGTCGAGAAAAAAATGACAATGGAGAATTCCCCATTGACGTATGTGCTTGCAGTGACTTGGTATAAAAGCATAAGTATATACACAAAACAACATGGGTTCCATCTGACGAACGCAATAAAAATCAAATGGGCTTCACCTCACTGGACTTCGATAAAGTAAAGGCGCATTCTACTGGGCAAAAACATCAGACGATGAGCAGATATCGTTCATATTACTTCAACCAAAGAAAGATTTAGCAGTTTAGTAGAATTGATAACTGTGTACAGCAAAGATAACTCTTCTATTACATCACCCTGGATGTTAGTGAAGGAAACATCAAGGTTCCACTTAACTGTCTTATTTGTGATAACTTAAGTATTCACAATTCTTGGTCATTAATTGTCCTGTTTCCACAGATTCTTCAGGTCCCAGTCGTTTGTTTTCCCTAAGAAACTGTTATTGTGTACAGGATGTTCAATGAAACAAAAACTCCCTTTTACATGATAACATATACATTCTGTTAGAAGTATCTTTTAGCCGTGACATACCTACGCTAATCCTTTCAAATGTATCATCTGGAGCTATGTGCACCGAGTATCTTGCGATTTTCCTCAACGCAAGCCACAACCACTCCCCCATATGCATGCATGTGAACACACACACATGCACATCGGTGTATAATGTGGGTTGTGACATAACTTTTTGCACACTTTTAGGATTTGAAGTGTGGTATGTTGTGGGTTCCTTCAGTAATTACAAGTCTGACTGCATAATTGGTTCTACCCATGACCAAGCATAATCTCTGTCTTATACATTCGACTATTTACTTCCGAATGAGATGGTTATTTAATGAAGGCATTTAACTTGGGAATTAAACAGATCGTTATTTCGAAAAAAGCCTTCTACATCGGTTTAAACAGTTATCGAAACGATTATTCACCAGTATTTTAGTGACTGCATTTAGTCTGTACTGAATATGAAATGAGTAGAAAAGTACTCTATTGGTGAATTAAAAACAAGAAAAGAATTGTTCATTCATCACTGGTTCACAATACTAGAAAAATGAAAATAATCATCATCCAACCACATAAGGCAGAATGTATTCATGACGATTAATGTACTAATAGCAGGTTTGAAGCTGTTCAAAGTACACTAAAAGCGTATGCATCCTACGCATACACATTGAAACATATAAATGAATGAATATGAGAAGTCAATAGCAGTCCATCAATACAGCATTAGGTGAGTTTTGATATCGATAAATTTACAACAGTTCGATTGAAAATATGCTTTAAAGTATTCGTCAGTTGAGGATTCTATTTTCCTAGACAAAGCTTAGTACCACAAAATGTTCAGTGGAACGATACTGCATATAAACATGAATTTGAATTTTGAGAAAATTAACTGCACATCTGATTCCACGTTAAGGGCTTCTTTGTATTCTATATTACTGTGCAATATCTTAAATTATACGATTAGGTGGAAAACGTCTATTTCTGAGAGTTAAATCTTATACATAGGTCTGAAAATTCAAAGTGCCTGAGTGAATTTCTCGGAAGGAAACAGTGAGTTTCAGACTAGACAGTACCCTGTCGCATGAAATGCTACAGCTAACTATTTCGCTCGACGAATCTGGATAAAGAGAAAATATTAAGCGACTCCGTCTGCAATGATTATACTTTCGTATTTTGCAACTAGCATTATGAGCTGTGGTATTAACAGAGACTATATTTCTATGTAGGAATGAACAGAAACAGAGTGGATGGAGATTTTAATAATACTATAATAATATTAATAGCTCTATTCCAAACAGTATTTCTTGTTCAGGTATGGAATTTTCACCGTGCATTGCAATACATTGCGTCTAATTACCTCATAAATTTTATAAGATTTTTTAAAATAAAAAAGCAACATAAAAAGATAAATAAAGATAATAAAAAAATAAAAACAACAGCGTTGCGTTCACATTTTAAACAATGCACCACAGAATATGAAATATAAAATAGGTGTGTAATAGAAGATGAGAACAACAGTGTAACAGTGTAGTAACGAGGAAAGGAAAACAAAAACTAATTGAACTATTTGTTATAGCGCCGCAGTAAGTTAATCGTGTCACACCTAACGGATTTCTCGTCACATAACAGCGGTGCCAGATATGGTATTGTGGAGTTTTTGTATTTGGTAGTCCTAGCATATAGAAATTACAACAGTTGTTAAACGACTTCTTCTACCAAAGAGATGACAGCCAGTTTAATTTCCCACCGCTGTCAGTAATAAAAACCCATTGATACACATATGTCATCATGTATATGGAATGTCAAATGGTGTCTGCGAACTAAGGCTCTGTTTCAGATCAGCTGCACCTGAAACATCAAGCCGCGAAATGCAAAAATCTTTACATTATGAGAACTTTGATGACGACATAATTAAACAGGGGAAGGCAATAAATCACGGTCCGACAACGAAGGAATATGGAAAATAGCTGCAGTTGATGACTATCCCATTCACAATGAGAGCAGTGATAAATTTGTAGGGCAGTGAAGTGTAGATTCAAACCAAATACTCCTTATCGCAGTTACATAAACAATATTGTGAATCAACTTCGTTTGTTCACAATCAAAGTTCAATAACAAAAATTCTAAGATACTATATAAATGAGTATTTTATTTAATTCCATATTAAATTAAGCCGATAGCTGTGAAAGGTAAGTGATATCATCAACATTATCACTGATATTATAAACCAAATATTCTTCAATATCGAAGTAAATGTAAACTTGAGTATTAAGGTGTGCAAAAGATGCATTTGAGTGCAGATATGATGATATCTATGCCATAACTTCCAGAAAACCTTTTAGATATCAATAGTTAACCATCAAGTTCGTCTGTGGCTCTAGCAGTTTTAATCTCATACATGACATTGATTGATTGAACAACATGTGTCGGTGAGACTGCAGAAATCAATAGCACCCGCGGGATGATTCAAGACTCCTCTCGCTCCGCCTGCTTGAACCCATAGAAAAGTCAGGTGAGTTATACATAGAAGACGTCTGAAAGAAGAATCACTTAATTTTTATCGCAGCCAGCGATAGGCGGAATGTGAGAGGCGAATTTGAAAGAATTAAATAAACGTCTTCACAGGAAGTTTAGTGAACCAGTTAAAGTGAACTGAAACTTGATATCACTTTTCTCAACATTCATGAATAGCCTAGTAAAGTGCCTTATGTAGTCAGGCAACACTTTTTGATTCAAAAACGGATGGCATTCCTCTTAAAATTAATGAATGTTTCAAATTCAGAAGTCACTCACGTTCAGCCTTATTCACTGTGATTCAGAGAAACTCTTACTGACTAAATGACATATACACATCTGTTCATGCGGCGCTACACATGCCATACTATCCATGTATTTTAATTCCGGCTGCAAATGGATATACTTTTCTTCTATGTTCTTTCTATGTTTATCCTTTAAAGTGCATTTGTATTATAATTTAGGAATTATTTACAGAGAAGGAACAATGTCAGCGGAGTGTTCAACATCGTCCAGTTTGAAAGAATCTCCATTGCACACAAAAATAAGCCGATATCTCTTTTACTTCATCTGGGTAATTAAAGCAACTATCACTATTCCACATTCCTAAAATGAATCATACAGATGTTAGTCGACACATTGTTTTTTGTTTTGGGGACTGTGTGCATGATTTTAGTCGTGAGCAATTCGTAAGTCTTCGAAATGAATAATTATATTTTCATGCTCTAGGGAGACAATTACTGATTATTTTGCCGGTCATCATAACACGCCGACTATTTTAATGTAAGTCAATTTTTTTCACGATATGTTTAACTGATGACCATTTCTTTGTGAACCTTATGATCATACGAAATAACTTCTGCGTAGAACACTGGGATTCAGGCTTGGAATTCTTGATGACAGTGGTGTTGTTTATAGACCGTGAGTTTACTGGTCATACGTTTAGCTCTCTCCTTGTTTCCTGGGTAGGAAGATACGCTAGGCTTATTAGGAGTTTGCAATCCTGTAGTCAAAACTGCACCACATACTTCCTTTTAGCTACCGTTGTAAAGTTGAGTCAGTTACTCCTGTTTCGTCATCGGGAAGTGTGCAGAATTAGCAGCAATTCCATCTAAAAATGTGCGTAAGTATACTTGTTTACCGATGGACATAATACAATGGCTCATGATCAGTGATGAATGAAAGATCAGGTGCCTTAAGTTTTCAAGCATACCGCCGTTTCATTTAATGGATATATCGAGTAGCAATCACTCCCCACAATCTGTGTAATTCCTCGATGAATGAGACATCTTTTATCCCTCCAGTCTAGCAGTTGCAATTTCAAAGACAACCTGGATTCTTGAAGATGACTATTTTTCATTATGGGTAAATTTTGTTTGGATAAAGTCTCACGGTGTTATGCAGTAATGCCTACTGATGGAGTTTCAAGCACAATTTATTACTCATAATCATATCAAAATACTCACACCACTTCCCAACTTCATTTATATAGTTCCGTCGTTTTTCACTTGATTTGATTGGTAGTAGTATTTTCAATATTTCTGGTATGAGTGATGAATTATTTCTATTGCATGTGTTGGGTGTAGACTTGACGAACAAGGATTCAGTAATCAACCTCTCTCTCCACCTATTTAGATTACGTTTTAGAATTTTAACCCCCTTATCTCACCCTATTGTGTGACTGTGTGTTAATGCATGCATTTCGATTGCTGAGCTTTTTTCTAAATTACTAATCTTTTCAGGGTCAACCATTCTTACCTAAGCTAAATTCTTATATTCTGACAATCTGACTACCTCTTACCTACTATTATGACCTATGTAGTTCACATAACTCACAGTCATTGCAAAGTATTTTGTAAATTATATTATTTTTCCTATTTGGGTCAACCCACAAACTCACTCAGGGACAAGCTCTGTAGGTCAAATTACCCAGCTGATTACTGAATCCTTGTTCATCGAGTCTACACCTAACACATGCAATAGAAATGATTTATCACTCATACCTGAAATATGTAAAATACTACTATCAATCAAATCACGTGAAAAACAATGGAACTGTATAAATGAAGTTAGGAAGTCGTGTGAGTGCTTTGATATGATTATGAGTGGCAATAAAACAGTAAGCACTACTGTATAACACAGTGAGACTTTATCAAAACTTGCCCATAATGTAATTACACTCTAGCGCACTGCACGAATTGTATTCTTATATCGTTGACCATTTTCGTGTCAGTCATATGAAAGTGTTTCAGTTTTCATTTCAGAGCTATAGGAATAGCGGCAACTATAATTCTTGTATTATTCAGGGGATTCAAATATGAAAATGTGGTTGACCATCTTCTGATCGTAATAGGTGTAAGTTTTTTACTCAATTTAGTTACTCTTTTTGCCAAATGTTTTCTAGAAAAATGTAATGACGATCCAGTATCACATGAGGGAGTGGGAAATATTGTCACCCTAACTAGAAGTCGAGACATAGACTCTAGACCATTGGAATGCGATACTTTCAATGCAGAGATTCTTACCTCGACCATTCAAGTTCACTAATACTAATTGTAATGTGCGTCGGTGGTATAGCGGTTAGGACACTCACCGAGCATACACATGGTCTGGAGTTCGATTCCCGGCCAACGCACTCCTTTACCTCACTAAGCCAGAAATAATGCTGTTAAGGTAAGGTTAGGCAGGAGGACAGCCACCCCTTCCTGTAAAATAAACACTCCTACAGAAACTTCAAGCCACTAGCTTGAAGCCCTATGTTCCATTGGGGGACGTGAAGGAAAAAACTGTAATCACAGCGTGTCAAAACTCGTGTAGCTTCAGCAGGTCAGAATAAGGCTGAGTCTGTCAGATAGTCGGTTTTATTTTATGAGGATGCCTAAAATGTATAGTAATTCAACCAGTTTCTTGGTAGATTTAGTCATGTGGTATTCAAAAGGTTTGAGGAATAAGGCAGTATCTTCACTAGGTAAACTTGAGTTGCTCTTGAATTATGAGACCTCAAGGTTGCTGTGATTTCAAATATCCCATGGTGGCAATTATGAAATTGATGATGATATCACCGAGCTCTTATGTCAGCGACAGTGACATAGTTAAGTTCAATGTATAATTACGATTTCGCACACTTACTGGGGATGTTGTTCTGATATCTACCTTTAACATAATGTCATCGGTGGAGGGTTTCATATAGTTATTTATTATTGTTGCCATTTGATACAATCATTATAGTGCTGTTTCTAGGAAAAGTGTATGAAGTAGTTCATTTGATGTTCTTCTTCTCATACGTCTAAGAGAATGTACGAGTTGCGTTTGATTGAGTGAAACTACGTCAATTTTAACTACAGATCAATTCCCTTGTATGACGCACATCATGCTATTGATGTTTTTTTGTGCGCATCAATGTAAATAATATACTAATATAAATCTTCATTTATTTTTTCAGTACCTACTGATCTCATTTGGCTTCGCTGGCGCCTTTCTGTATATTCAATTATTTTGCTCCCTGATATCGCTCCTTGTGACAGTAACGGTCAGTGGAATTGTGACATTTTTGGGTCTTGCATTCAAAGCTCTGCAGATGACGTTCACTGTGATTATCTTCATTGTTGGGTGTGTTTTCGCCGGGATTGGTGTTCTCATGATCATTTTTGGACGAAATGTCCCAAAAGAAGGAAGCGTAAGTTTTATGACTAATCACGTTGTTCGATTTGAACTCCCGAATATATATACAGTTTCACAGTTAGCGATGCCACTCATTTTTGTAATCGTAATATTTCTAAAAATTCACAATAAGTATCGACTTGTTAATATTGAGAATAATACTAGACAGTTAAGCCTTTGAATTTTAAGAATTGCAGTTTTCATTTTGTGAACTATTTTTGTACAAGTTCATTTCGAAATATCGGCAGAATTTAAATCATTCATCACCGAAAAATGAAGATGTTTCCTACGGAATATTCTGTTTGACATATCACACAGCGAAATAGTACCAGTTACTGGATGTTAGTTCGGTCAAACTAAATTGCTCATAATCGTAATTGTTGTCACTTCCTTCTCATTTTTCGTGGAGGTTGAAAAATATTCAGCTGCGTGGGTTAGCTGTTGAATCATTCTCACTGCACAGGTTCTCAAATAATTAACAATCTCCATTTTCGGTGTATTGCATTCGATTTCAGTACTGCCATTTTTTGTCTTATCCTATTTTATGGTACTATGTGACCGTGTGCTAAGTTATTGTTCACCTGTATTTTAAGTTCTTCATATTATTCGTGTCAGCTTACCCAGATTTTGCTAGGTACTTATGCTGAATGAATCTAATCCACCCTCGCCTCTCACTTTACCAAAGTATGTGAAGTTTCAATAATTGTACGATTGAAGGTAATTTATATGATGATTTTGTTTAATGTGCTCTGCAGAATGCTCTAGCAGTTGTACTTTAGTTATGAGCCTTTTGATCTGAATGCCTTGATCTTGTCTTGTGAGGAATTCTCTGTAACGTCGATGACATTCTCTGTTCACTGAGTAGCATCTGTAGTATTTAAATTTTCTGCTGTTAAGATTGTCTTCTGACTGTAAATGTTCGCCATTAATATCGTAATTATATTTGCTTTAAGTGTTGTTCTTGCAATTCACCACATGAATCCTGAAAACCTTGTCCCAATAAATACACAGCATCAAAGTTGAACGTAACACTAATCCTATTTCTCAACTGAATTCCAAACTTGGGTTAAAATTTATATTTTATGCGAACTCTGACGTTTAACTTCCCAGCTTTGTGTTTTCTTGATAATATGCATTACTGAAAGCTCCGATTCATATTACAAATCAAGTTTTGAAGTAGTCTAGTCACAGCGTATACTATTATAAGCAGTAAATTATGTTGGAAATGTCATCCAGTGGATAATGCTGCTTCACTGTGCGATATAACATGAGAATCCATGGTTTGTTTATACTCGATAGGCTCACATGTCTCGCTCACAACCTTCCTTCTTCTCTCTTTATATTGTCGGCTACATAAGTCCGAGGAGAGCGTTGATCATGTGTGTGTACGCTCGACTTTCCCCGGCTTAGCTGCTGACACTTTGTTATATTTAATGTTTATGAAAACGGGATGGTATAATCGGAAACATCATTAAGATATACTGGAGCTCCATATATAAACAAAATCTTAGATTTTATGATTTTGAATTACTTTTGCTTAAAGGTGAAAATAACTTCTCTTACTATGAGGACTTCGAGTCTGCGCTGTAGTTCGAACATTTTATTCCAACATACAAGACGTTTGACACGGAAAATAAAAGCAGATTGCACGTCGGATTTGTGATGGATCAATGCAAAACCCTCCGTAGGGATATATCTTATCAATATGAACTAATGAAATGTAAGGCATTGGAAGAGAACGTTATAGATATTATTACAAATTATCATAGAATATTAAGATATATGGATACTTGAGTGGAAAGTTTTCTCTATCAAGCATTCGTTTAGCGTGCGTCTGAAGCTACATACGTCTGATAAGAATTTAGTGAAACGAAATTACCATATCTGATTCCGCTCAAACAACAGCCTTTCCTTCATTCAAATTTATACTCTGCATAACTCATGTGTTCAGATGCAGCATCCAAATTTTTTTCTAAACCCTGTTAAAGTGTTATGTCTTCCTATAATTATTCACTGTTTCGAAATTTTCAGACACCTTACATGACAGCTTACATGATAGTATTTTCTCTGTGTATGAGTCTTTGCGCAATACTAGTAAGTTCAAACACTAACCTGTTTAATAAATCCTATTGGTTTGCATATTATGGTTCATTTTTTTAAATGTATAGGTGATACATAAAAAGTTTATTATCCACAGTCGTATTATTCCCTTCTCTTTGGGATATGGTGCTAAAGCCAGCGAAAGATGCTTACCTATCTCGTTGAGGCGAATGTCTTTCTAATCTGATTTGAAGGATTGCAGTACATATCGTGAAGTAAAAATGAAATCCAGCTCCCAGCAACTGCAAAGTGTGAGTCATTACCAGCCACATTCACTGCCCAACACTTTGACCTACATAACCTAGTGATAGACATTTCAGTGTTATCATCGAGATATTTGGAACAAAATCAAGAGGATTCAATTGTTTGTTAAAGGTTTTTTGAGGATGGACTGTTTCAAGGCCTAAAACTTCACTGAAATGTTGCGTGAAGGCAGTTTGATGTTATCAGCCTGATAAGGTACCCGGAGGGGGGCAGAGTTTACTTACGCGAATCATGAACCACGCTTGATCGGCACACAGATAGGCTAAGTATTCCATTCGCCTTTCGATAATAATGGAATAACATCACGTCACATATGAACAGTTGCTCTTATTATAAGGAAGTTTCGAAACGTCAACAGGATGATACACACACTAGATGGATTTGTCTAGCATATCGAATTTCGAGAGTGATGAATATCCCATTCACAGAAAATACCCATTGATTCATGGAGAAAACAAAAGACAGATTCAGCGTAGAAAATTTTCTTTATCAACGAAATCATCTTCAGAGGCTGTACAGTCGTATTTATACTTAGAAAAATGTATAGTGTTCTATTAGTGAGTAATAGGGGGGTGATATAATTGATGTAATTAATCATAAGTGGCTTTAGAAGTGAAAATTAAAAGTTGCAAATTACATGATACTCAACGGCACAGAGGTAGAAATTTGATAAGGTTAAAATTGCCCTTGAGTGACGATAAAGGCATTTGAGTGTCAATTAAACAAGTGTGAAGAGGGTGTGAAAATGTACGAAAGGAGCATATAAGAGTGATAATAGTGAATTAATTATTAAAGCAGAAGAAAACTAAAAGTAAAATTGAAAATTACAAAAAAAAGAAAAAACGAAAAGATTTTTACAGGGAACAATTAGTGAAGAGGTTAAGACCAAGGGAGAATAAGAGACTGGACAAACGTTTTCTGTATGCAGACTTCAGGGTTGTATTGATGAATTGCCAGCGTCTGCTCCATACACAAAAGCCGAAACCTGACGCTCTTTGTACCGTTTGGCTTCACTTTGTAGATGATCTTGAAAGACGACTCTGGTGGAGCTACGTGGCCTGAGTTCACCAATTGCTCGGGAATTGAGCTAGTAATTGTCTTACATTGTCCCTTTGCTAACCATGCCGGATAATGTCCAGAGAAAGCGTGTGCTTTGTGCGAGCGGCCAATATAACTAGCTTTACACGAGCAGGTGAATTTATAAAAACACATTGAGGTGTGTGGGCGACTCAGACAAGTTCTCATAGGGAATGGATATCCTCCAAGATTTATCGAGAAAAACATCAAGTTAATGGAAAGGCTTGAAAGAACACAGACGGTGCCGAAGAAACTGTCATTTATGAGTGTTGAATTGACATAATATTCCTGTCTAAAAATCAGATTTTCATTAACCATATAGCAAGGTTTGAGTTCTTCTGATTGAGTTTGGTTATTCACGACTAGTTTTCACGAATTCTTCATTTTACTCGAACAACAATCCATGGGGTGATATAAGCACAGATTGAAAATTTATTTGAATATGCAGTTAATTAATAATGGAGCACACTGCAAAAATTAATTAAAACAAGACACGTAAACGAACAATACTGTTATTTTCAATTAGATCTTCTTCATACCTTACTCTAATTCACACAGATTTATATATAACAATTTTAAACAATGATTGCGAATTTGTGGATCAAATAATAATAATTCTAATGTGGTAAATGTTTTGAACGTAGTTAATAACGATAATTATAAGGATAAAATCTATCGATAATAAGGTTTATGCAGCTGGTGATAAGAATAGCAAAGATAGTAATATGTGTATGTGTAGACAATTCAATAAAAGAATGGATATTGAACAAAGAGTACTCCTTTTGATACATTCATCATCAGGCTCTATAGTTATATATACACCATAGTGAATGAATGAATGAATTAGTGTAATAAACAACATTAATGTTTTTAAAATAACATTGAATCAATAATATTGATAGATTACAGCTGAATCACATCAAAATAAAATAAGCTGAATGTCAGAAGAATAAGCAAAGATAATATTACAAATTCATGATTTTATAGTTTCTACTGAAGGTCAAGGCAACAGTAGAGGCTGGACTTGCTTCTTTGGAACACAGAGCACTGGTTGTTTGAGGTGAATCTTAAAAGCCTATGCGGTGCTTCTATGATTTTGGCAATTTATTGGGCACCCGATATATTAAAGAGAAGGATTCCTCTACTCTGGCTTTGTGGCCGGTTCGCACCAGATGATCCATTATCGAAATGTTAATCGTTTTCACTAGACCTTTGCTTAGCCATAGTGGGAGATGTTCTCCAGCATGAAAAATCAAGTTCCTAGAGCAACGGCCAATATTACTGCCTCCATAAGTGCAGTTGAATTGATAGATACAATTTGAAGCTATGGGGATTCGAGAGAACAATCCCAGTCTTTGCATACACAAGACGTTTGTTCTACCTCTGTATCTCCCTTGGTTTAGGTGAATACTATTCAAAACCCTCCCACCCTTTCTTATTTTCCATCTCCTTCGTATTTTTATGATATATATTTAAACTCTGATTATCAATTCACTTCACCTTTAGTATTAAGTAACTTTTAATATTTGACCTAATTTATTTATTGAATTGTCTACATATACACATATTAATACTTTTGCTATTCTTATCGTCACCTGCATAAACCTTATTGTCAATATTTTGTTATCACTATAATCATCGTTATTAACCATGTTCAAAACATTCATCACATTATAATTATTATTATTTGATCCACAAATTTGCAATCATTGGATAAAAATTGTTATATATAAATCTATGTAAATTAAAGTAAAGCCTGAAGAAGATCTATTCGAAAACAATTCTGTTCGCTTATGTGTATTTATGTGATATTGAAAATTTGTGTATATAAAGATTTGAAAATTAATTTGAAGTACTCAAGTTTCGGTACATGTCATATCACTTGAAGAACCACTGAAAACCAAGTAGTACTGAGCAGCTTTTATGTCCTAGTTCTCATCACTTCATCTGTGCGCACCCATGGAAACACAAAGGATAGAAAAGATGCCAACAGAGAAGCATAGAAGCATGTCACGTCTTTCTATCCTTACTGAATTCTGAACACTGAGCAGTGTAACGTGGAGCTTTGATTGAACATTTCTCAATACTGATATGCAGTAGGTTCAGTGTGAGGTTGTTTACTCGCCCATGGGTTTGGCGATAACTGACAAAGTCACCCCAAAACCTGAAACTGTCACTGCGCACTAATGAAGTGACTGCCCAGCATTAACAGATTTTACAGTGGTTCTCATAACGATTTCATTTCATGACTAGACGTGAAACCCGTCACATTTCTGGAAAATGTTACTAAAATGAATTTATTTGTTTTCCCCGATTTTTTTATCATTTCAGTTCATTTTCATGACGATAAATCGAATGCGATTATGTGTCTCATACAATGTCTTCTATTGCTCTATAATATTCCGAGCATTCAGTTTGTGGTTAGGAATGCTTGTAATGTTCACATCAGTATACTACTTCCAGGATACAGTGTCTGATAAATGCAAAAGCACATCGTGACAGTCCATACTAAAATAGGCAATTATATTTGTTATGTGTAGCTTTCAATGTGTTGCGACATTATACAAATAAATAAATAAATTACATTCAAAAACCAGCGAGAAGATCCTATGTATCCATTTTCATTGACATGTTCCCATGGAAGATGTTTGAATACGCCATAGGCCACTAAATGTTATACGGCTTAAATACTTCACCTTTGATGTCCTTAATACACTATACGTTATACTTGAAAATTGAAACATTAATTGTCAACGATCTAATCGAAGTCGAAGGAAGAGTTTTCATGATCATGTACAGTGCATAAAAATCAATAATAATAATGATTTACTTTATTCCAAAAACACACAGGAATAAACACAGAAGTCAGAAAAGGGTGCTTATTATCACCCATGATGATATTCCTAATTGTGGTGGACTGACTGGTTTTTACGTCAGACAGTGGGAAACGAGAAGACAGGAATATCCTGGACCCACAGACGTGAAAAACATAGAAGACCTGGATTTCGCGCGTGGATGATTTATGTTTGGTGTCACACAAATTCGAAGAGTTACAAGCGAAAACCGACAAATTGGCCGAAGAAGCAGCCGGCGAAGACAGGACTCCAGGTGAACATAGGCAAGAGGGAGGTGATGAAAATAACCAACAACACCAACAACAGCAGCAGCAACATCGAGCGTCAATCACCATCAATGGGAGGGATTTGAAAGAGGTAACTGCATTCTCTCACTTATCTAGGGAGCGTTGTCTCAATCTTCGTCACTCAGTCAGCATCGGCAACAAAATTCAGTCGGATTTTCAATACAAACGTCAAGTCAGTCAGTTCTTCTAAACGGATCAGAAACTTGGCCGGCGGGTAACAAAGAATATTTCCAACGGCCTGTTGCAGACCTTTATCAACAACTGTCTTCGTTGGATCTTTACTGAAGATCAGATGGCCGGGCCGGAAAGAATCATCAGCAAGAAACTATGGGAACTATCAAACAAAGCAAGAACCAATCGCCCAACAAATATGCAGGAGAAAGTTGAGATGGATTGGTCACTCGCTGAGGAGACCGCTGGGTGACATCGCGCGTCGGACCATTGCTCGAGTGGAACCCGAAAAGTAAAGCGGCGATTGGGACGTCGGTGCAAGGGTGAAATGGAGGAGATCGTGTGGAGAGGAGTTGAAAGAGTATGGACTAACATGGATGCAGGTGAAAAGTACAGCACAAGGAAGACAAGCAAATGAAGACGTGCATTTGAAGCACTTTGTTCTACTAGGAACCCAAGGGAGCAATAATAATAATGCCAAAAACAGTACTTGTGATACAGAATAGAATTTTTAGAATGAATCACAATATTGCATCGAATTTCCCCTAATTATAAATAAAATTCATCACATAGAAAATTTTCCACATGTACAATAGAGGTAGTGTCAAAAACATGCAGCCTATTGATTGGAAATAATAATAATAATGATAACCGCTAAGGTAATAATATTAATACAAGTGAAAATTACTGTGGGCTTGTTTCACACTGTATTGGCAATGCGGTATAGAAATCCTAGCATGTTTAAAAATATCGAATATAATATTCTCTTTACATGATATAGTGAGGGGAAAAACAAGGATTACAGCAGTCATAGAGGTAACTTGGTGTTTGCACTTTTGAGAGTAAAACAAGGAAGCAACAGGACCATAAATATAATAGAAGTAATAAAAGTAAAACTTGAAGGTATATAAGAATGGATGGAGGAAATTGTTTGCTTACTAGATGAAAAAACGTTCGTTAATTCTTTCTATAGTCTGGTTTGTAAGGGTCTGTTCTTTTTTTACGAGTTGATCACAGATTGATATCAGTTAGAGAACCATTGAAAACCAGGGAGTACTGGACAGCTGCTGTTTCATCCTAGTTTGGGAATCGTGGGTAATTGTTGCATGACACTATTTTCACTATCACATAAAATACGTGCCAAGTATGGTATCATAGAACTTCTATACTTAGACGTGCGAGCATACAGTTTTCTGAAGTTACTTCTTGTTCTACCTGAGCAGATGCAAGGCGAAAGCTGAGGGTAAAGCGGATGCTTCAAGTCAGAGAAAATCCCTCTAGCAAATTTATTGCACGAAATCAAGGCCTATCGATAACAACGTTACCTATGTGGTCCACTGGGACACCACTCACCCTACTGACAGTCTTCAGTATTCTACAAATTGTGACATAGTCTTTTTAAGGAAATCAGGAAAGAATAAGGGTGAACAGTAAAGAAGAATAGGTAGGATGCAAGAGTTTATGAATTAACTGTAAGAGGAGGGGTTGAGTTATACTCGAGTGTCTTAACTTTTTAATGTAAAATGTCACGTGGAATATTTTACTGAAGATCGCTAAGACATGGGAAGACCAGGAGAGATGAGAAGACAGAATAAGTCCAAGATATTTAATTTCTGATTTAATTTATTGTCTTCAATCTTACAACTGTCATGAGAATCGATGACTTCTTTTAACTGTCTTTTACATCTTAAGCTGAAATTGACAGTTTGACATTTAGAAGGATTCAGTATAAGATCGTTAGACTCAGACCATTTGCTGACTCCTGACAGAAAGCTTTTTATTTTAGTACAATCTAGCTGGGAGTTAACAGCCATTGAAACTGTTAAATCATCAGCGTATTTTACAAAGTTTATTTTATCAGAGTGAGGACATAACTGAATGTACTCAGGTAATGCGATTCAAAATATTACGACAGTATCTTCTCCATAGTGACTTAAGTTAAGAAATAATACGCTATATTCCTGTCATTTGTGAAATGAAATTTCAAGGTATCTTCCACGTTCGTAAATGTGAATCATATTTTGATGTGGTTGTGTTCTCTGAGCTGGATAGTTAATTTGCGCAAATTAACGATCCAGCTCAGAGAACACAACCACATCGAAAATCATCAACCTGAGCTACAAATCTTCTCTCTCGTGTGTGAATCATATAGATGAGTAGGCTGAGACACATCTTAGGACGTCTGAGTCTACATTCGTGGGATGCCAAAGATACGTGGACACCGAATTAGCTGTATTCGTTTAAGGGTAATCATGGCATATTCCTTAAACATAGTGACTTATTGGTAGACATGATCCATTTCGTCTTTTGGTTGCAAAGTTTTGCTGGTGTATAAAAGAAGGCATAACTAGTAACTATTGCTTTAATAAATCTTCCCAGAATTATGCTGAAGATTATTCGGGATAATGTAAAATTTTCGATAAGTGTGACATTATTAGCAAGTATATGCATGAGCTCAAGTACATCAAAATGAGGTAATTCGAAATACTCATAGTACGACAACACAGAGGAGGAAAACCTGATCATTTGAGTGAAACGCATTAAAGACAGGAAAGTATTATTTAAAAACCCTGTTCCAACAATCATACAACTGAGAAAGCAAAAACGATGAACCGAACTAGACAAGATAACAGCTCACTGCACGTAATATTTTAGGTCGATTTGGAGATGGAATACAACAGGAATTCAATGGAAAGATGGAGATCAAAATGAAATCTTCATTGAGCACAACATAACTTCATATAAAAATCTTCTATAACCGAATAATCGTATGTGAAAATAGCTTGATATCTAGAATGGAACTCTCAGTGAACAGAATGGTGCACAGTAAGTAATAGCCTGATACGAATACCCGAATCCGGACTGATGCGATCGGACAACGGAAGACATCGTGTCAATCAGTGTTTCGACATCATCTGAATACTGTAACTTTAGTTCTAAAGGAGAATCAAGTTCTTGATCAGATTCTTACAGTAAGATGCTGATCAGTTAAATAATTGTTTGCATATCTTAATAGGGTGGAAGTTTCCTAATAATAAGCGACATTGGCTTTCCTTAGATTAATTCACCTTTGTCTTAACAATTTGTGTTATGGTGATTAGTCGTAACAAGACAGATAAAGCACTTCCGATAACGTGCTGTTTACAACGAGCAGACTGACTAAAGTTGTCAGTGAGTGAAAAGATTCACACGTTTATTCAGAATCTACGTCTCAGAGAACAGTTGAGTGAAAATTCATCTTGTGAAATTCAAGAAACGCCTTGATGTCACTGTGAAAATTGAAGCAGAATTGTGCTTAATTACAAGAGATTTAACTTGATAGGATCTAATTGGAACCTCAGAAAACAGACATCGGACGTACCCACAGCGCTAATGCATAACGTATAAAAGTATTTTCAGAGTTTGCTGTCGAATGAAACACAAGTTAACTTGACAAACTACCAAACATTTTTGACCTTACACTACAAAAGAACTGAGGTTGATCTGAATTGATTTGAGCATAAATATTCTCTAATGTCACTAACTAGTGGTAGAGCTATACACCTGATTAAACAGGTGTTAGTTAGAAATTAGAAGCCATCGGATTCCATCTCAATGTCTAATCGCTGATCAAGGTAATCTCATGAACTGAAGATTCTGAGATCATTGCTCAGTAGTTTCATGAGAAAACGAAGTCAGTCCGAACTGCTATCGTCAAGCATGTACTTCTGCATGGTTCATAGTCCTGGTAAACACGAGATCAAACTAATTTTCAGATGAAGCTTGCGTGCATCAGTATCTATCTACCTTTGATACGAAAGATGGCCTGTCAGAACAGATAAGCGATACAGAACTCTAGCAGAGAGGTTCAGTGAGGAAACTGTTGTCCAACAATATGTATAAACAAAAACAAAAAGGATTGGACCCCACGCCATGACGTCTTCTAAAATGCCTCATTATGGCCTCTTTAGTGAGACGATAAAAAGAATGTGACAATTTAGCATGTATTTCGATGAACTGCTTATATTATTTTTGAATTAATCCCTTGAACATCGTATGGTTTGATATAATGT